ATTGATGGAAAATAAGATTTCTGTACAACGTTTACCGATTTAGAGGAAAAAAATATATATATATGCTATTATTTGTGTGATGGAGCAATTGTGAATATGACATTTAGTGGTCCGGTGCTACACGTTTGTGTCAAATATCAATGCTATTATGTGTGTGATGAAGCAATTGTGAATATGACATGTAGTGGTCCGGTGCTACACGTTTGTGTCAAATATCAATGCTATTATGTGTGTGATGAAGCAATTGTGAATATGAGATCTAGTGGTCCAGTACTATACATTTATGTCAAGTGTGTGACATGAGTATTGAAACACGCTTTATTCACGGATGAGCTTAGAGATATCTAAGATAAGGTCCTCTAGACTAGAGTACATTCTTTGTGTTGACATGGATTTAGTAGATGAAGTTTAGAAAATGGATAACTCGTAACAACTTTAAAAGAACGCTTTGAAATCTAAAGGTTTTAAATTAAGACGAACGTATAGAATATCCTTTCAGTCACACACAACAAGGATCAACTATCCTATAGAGAACCTTTTTTTCATACTTTTGAAGAGAACGTAATGCACAATAATGCATCAAATAACGAACTGCTATTTATATGCTACATAAAGCGATCAATAACCTTCACTATAAATAACATTACTAATTTATTTTCAATACTAGTCACTCTATTATTTCTTGTTACAAAAATTGACATCCCAATTTGACACTAGTCTCTGAGTCTGGGTAAACATGCCACCTAATGTTGTGGCTGCAAAATCTTGAAACTAGGAACATAAATTTTAATGCGATGAAGTATGTCGATTTTTAAATATAATTTATTTTCAAATTTTACTCCCAGGACAAAATTAAGTGGTAATATTTACCTGAAAATGTAAGACGTCGATCATTTTTTACGTGAAGTTGAGATCGATATAACAGAGTGATCAATAAAAATGGAAAATATACCGTCAAGGTTGAAAGCCAAATAAGCCAGGTTGCATGCTACCTAAAGTTTGGACAAGATTTTATCTTTGATTAAGGATACAGAAACAAATAATGAAACAAAAAAAAGAAAAAGAAAAGAGTAATCATCAGTCTTTGCACTGATAACTCAAACATGGCTGAGAAACTATAATATTCACTATCTCTGGAGCTTCCCAATGGAGTGCAAATATACTGAGATGGAGACAACACTGTGAAGGCAGAATTACATTAGTCAGACATTTCGAATTCATTCGTCATATTCAAAAAGCATGAGAGACTTTTGTGAATGTTGTTTTAATTTTTTTTTAAACATAAATACTCACGTGGAACCAAGAAAGAAAGCAAGGGACAAATGAAATCCAAAGAGGAAAACAGACAACACCGCTGTCAGCAGCATTGCAACTGATGTAGAATACACCTGCAATAGTAATGCAAAATATATAAACATTTCTAATTTATCGTCCACTTTCTGCTGGCTCAATGCCACACCCAGCAAACCAACATAGTGGTCATTGCGCTTCATAGACACCCAGGACTCTGCATCAGGAACAAGCCTTCCTTTTTTTTTACTAATATGCTTGTTTGACAATGTTACTATGATTTTTTTTGGTCCAAGTACTACTGTTTGTCGACCCTGAGTTTATTTGAAATAACACTTTGTTGTTACAGTCCTATTGTTGACTGGAGATGGGTCAACTATTAGGCAGACAGGTGAAAGTAAGAAATCACAGGGCTGGACCTATTCAACACATTCATCCGGAACTCTACAACTCTCATCAAGTGCTTGGTGAAACTGAATTTGGTGAGAAACATTGTAAGACCTCGTAAAGCATTTATTCTATTACTTGCTCCGCCATGATGCAGCTGGTTGGTACTTGCATGGTTTGTTCAATGTCAGAGTACTGCAAGAAAAGATAAAGACCAGATGCCATCGACTGTGGAGGCAACATGGGAGCATTGGGAGGAATCTACGGTTTTCTGACAAATTTGTATAGCTGGTAGTTTTTTATGTATTTCTTCAAATATGTGTGTTGTATCAACTTCCCCAACTCCCACCCCATGCACTTACTAAAATATCTAATTCATGTCCTTGATGTGTGATCTGTACGACTACTTCATGGTACTTTCTTACTGCATATTAAGAGTATGTTTGAAAAGTGTTTATAAACAGATAAAAACGAGTGGTAGAAAAGTGAGTAATATTTGTAGGTCCTATGAAATGTGTAGATAAAAAGTGGTTTTACCGAAAGTGTTTATAAACACTTCCCAAACATACTCTAAATGGCCCATAGTCCACCCAGTAGGAGTACACAGCACCACCCAAGTGTAAGCTAATAAAGTGATGCATACTTGGAATAATTGCATAAATTCCATCAGATAAAATGTAAATAGTCTTTACCTTCACAATGTTGTCAGCATACTTCATGACCATTGATACTGCAATACCACTGCAATGACATCAAGTTTCTAGTTCATAGAAGTCTCTTTAAGAAAAAAAAATAAGAATATGTAAACATTTTTCATAAACACATATTGTCAATTCCCCGTGTTCACTCCCCCCTATTTAAACAAGGCAGGCCTGCCCAAGGAAGAAATCACAACAAGGGCTATATTTACCCCTATGCATAAACATACATTGTCTAGGAAAATATCAATATATAGATTACAGTAATAGAGGAAACAGAAGGAATAATCAGCCTGAAGTCACGTGTAACTAACATCATAGTCTAACTTAGGTGAATTACCAATAACTCAATTTCAAAGAAACAAGATTAATTGGAACTTTGAAACAAGATTAATTGTAATTTATCTCATAATTCAGGAAATAATATATGTAGAGAATGTAAACAATGACGAAAATCAGTAAATTGCGACCAAAGTTAGGTCCATGTCCAGTTCATCATCCCCAGTACATAGTCTAGTCATTCAACTGTGAATGAAGGCCTTTCTCGTTTACAGTTAACTGATATAGGGGTTTAGCTCAAAGCGCCAAACAGCAGCAGGTTTATAACTAATCGTAATTAACTTCCCAAGACATAACACCATGTATAAAAAAGTAATAATACAAACAAATAGAAAAAATATGATTTGTTCACGAGAAGACATTGCTAGTAAAATGCACAAGCCCTTCCAAGGAGAGGCCGGAATCATATGGAAGTTCATTTCTTAAACCAGAACTTTTTATTTTTGTGAAAGAAAACTAGAGGTTCCCAGTACAAGCCTAGATTTGTCTAAGGAGTAATAATTTTTCCTTTGGCCCCCATAACTGATGATTATCAATATTCTACCAGTTAGGCAAGTCAATCCAAGAAAGCATTAAAGGATATAAGTACCTCAAAGCATGATTCAAAATCATCAGAACTGTAACTAAAGAATATCCATGGAAGAATCCCCTGTGGAGCAAAAGAGAAACTTACATATCATGTATAAAATTGTAGAATCATCAATCTAGCATACGAAAATGTAATCTTGATGTTGTAAATTTGATGAAAATATTTCATTACAAATTGAGTCTGCTCGCTTAAGAAGTTACAAGTAGGGATGAAAATATTTTATTACAAATCATCAATCCTCTTGTATTGTTGACATAAATAACAGAAGCAAAAGGCAGTCTCTTGCATAATAAGAGAAACAACAGAAGCAAAAGCAGTATCAATTTACTTGTTCATGACCGCATCAAAATCTTGAACCAGTATGGCAATAGCATTGAAAGCCATCCCAAATACATACAACCAGAAGTTCTGCACATTAATATTCCTTGAAGGCCGCTTTTTAATGATAGCCTACAAAAACAGCAGAAAACACATCAGTTATCAAAAACAGTGCAAGCTGGGTCCACTTTATCTTGTCACCTAACAATATTGATAGTATAAAAAGGATCCTGATAAGAATTCTAATAATGGTATTCATTAGCTTAAAAATAAGATGAATCGAATGGGAAAATATTGGCCGAGAAATTTTATTGACCGATTTATTTTATTTTATTTTTTTTCCCTTTTTTCGGCAAAAACCATACTTCCATATATAGTAGGGAAAGATTTACCTCAGTGTAGACTCCAGCAAAACCACTCAGAAGGGCCATGACCTGAAATGGATTTGAAGAGTAATTTGAAGTGTCAACTTCTAAAAATCAACAAGTAAAGGGGATCTTTTTTTCGACGAGTAATTATAGGCTTATCACAGGATTAGATTGTGCCATCAGATTATAGTTCAGCAACTCACAATTGCCATCACCCAACCTTCAAAAGGAGTTTGCAAGACCCGGTCGGAACTGGGAAGAACATTTCATTCCGCAGGTACAAAGAAAAGAAAACATGGTCAGGATTCACAAAAGGGGAGCACACAGAGAGAAGGAAACTTAAATCAAATAATAACAGAAATGCTCTATTTTCTCATTGCCCTGTCGGGCATACAAAACAGTGATCTCAAGCACACAAATGAGAATATGACGACGACTCTAAAACTACACCGAGAGAAAACAAGATTATTACACAACCACTAATTCTTACTTAGAGTTTAGTTGTGCTGTGGTACATCCTGCACACAACAAAATGAAAGCCGCCCATTGGATCTCACTCAACCTGGAAAAAAAATACAATATGTTTAATCAGTTTTTTGTTATGTAGTCTTTGTCATCCTTCCTTCACCACCTTCTCATACACAAGTGTCAACCTAACTATTTCCACATTTGTACCATTTAAAATCCATCGAATGCATATAGTAACAAAATGTGGAGCCTTTCTCTATTTGAAGTTCAAATTTAATCCCTCTAAATTGCGGAATGACTTACTGTTTCTTAAGAATGATACGGTATAAAATGCCTGTACTGATAATGTTTAAATTCTTCAATATTTGATAACCCGGGGCATCTACATATGCAAAGATGTAATACTGCCACAAACAGACATATTTCAGAAAACAATACTGCAACCAAGATAAAAATTCAAAGGACTTTGGAATATTCAGGACTCAAAAACCTACCTGAAGTAAATTCTTGATGAGATAAAGAGCTGCAGGAATGGGGAAAACGTTAACTTCATCCCATGACGTACTCAACCTAACAGTAAGCACAAAAGTATGAGAATGGGAAACAAAGGATAGCATTCTATTGAATATGGAACTGAAAAAACAATGAACTGGAAAATCTTGTAGAAATTAGACGAGTTCAAACAATAAAAAAGCAATACTTGGTCTAACAGAAGATGTCATCGTGGATATCACATTTCGAAAGTTCCAAGAGTTGGATGCGAAAATTTTAACATATGCAAAATTGTTAGCTGTCTGTCAAAGTTATAAAAAAAAATCACAACTGAGATCTGGAAGACGGCATTATGCCTTTTGCAAGCACTAGAATGCATCAATTTTTATTAGAACCATGCTTGTCCAGAACTGACTAGATTTGCTATTTAGATTTTTGTTCATCCTTGCTTATGAAATGGAGGTAGTACCTTCAAATTTTATATTCTGCCAAAATTTTCTTTCCCTCTAGTGCTCGAGAGTTATCATATAGAAGAAGAGGAAAAAAAATGTTGTCCAGAACTCCTTTTCAACTAAAAACAAAAATATATGTGCAAAATACAAGGCATCTGTTTCTATTTATTACCTAATAATAGCTACATGTGTAAGTAGGGGAAGGAAAAAAATGACCTGTTATCCTCAGTAACACCTTCATTCCTCCAGATTCTTGTTAATGCTGCAAGTGATAGAGCACATTTCAAAGCTTCTACCTAATTACAGAGAAGAAAATCATTGGTATGTTAACAACATTCTTCAATGGAATCCAGAACCTACCTATGACACGATGTTAAATGAAGGCACTGTGATTATTATATTGCGAATTAAAATTGACATCCACTCACCAAAAAATTTGCAGTCGTTACGCTGTACTCGTACTTTCCAGCCCTCTTTGACCAGACAATGAGAATTGCTTGTGAACTCGTGAGAACAGTCAATGCAAGTGTTACTGCAGACCTATTTTGATCATCAGTGGAAAGATAGAAATGAGGTGAAGGTACTTCCCCTTACCCCTCCAACTGTTATAGTTCTAGATATGTAATAGAATTGAAAGACATTCATACTTGCGCTTCCACTTAGACTGGACACTGGAGCTGCCCCCCAACATGACTATACTATTAGCTGATCCTGTAACTGAAGAGCAGTGTGAGATCCAAAATTAGCAGGCCTTTGGAACAAATAGACGCAGAGATTCATGTGATGCAGCAACAGGTTAAAGAATAGACACAAATATGGCACCTGAATGGGGTTTCCCTCTTGAGGTCTCGATATCATCACGAACTGCATCATGTTCTTTATCCTTGAATTGAAATTCAGGAACCAAAAATAAGCAAAAATTGAGATGGATTTAGAATACATAGATTTTGAACGAAGCATAAAAAAAACAACTTAGAGGTGTATTCAAAGAGCAAAAACAGCAAACTGTAAGAAGAATTTCCATTGAAAAAAAAATAAAACTCGAAGAAATAATTGACAATTAGTTAACTATTATCAAAATAAGAAATACAATCAAACAGGCATTCAAGAATACAACAATCAATTAAAAGTGACATTAATGGATACACGATACTAAATTAGAGTAGAAACTCGATTGGAAGAAGAAAAGGCACCTGATCCTTAATTCTTCTGTAATCCATTTACCTCTATTCTCAATATGTATCCTTTTGGTTCTAAGACAAGATTTCAAATCTGAA